ACCCCGCAGCCAACGCACCCTCTCAGTGCCTCTCCAAAAAACTCCTGGAGACGTGACAAGGTGGCACAGGGGGCGACGGAGCAGGTCCAGCCAAACGCAGATCACTCCGATCCCGGGACCGACCCCCGGGGCGAAGCTCCCGAGATCCTGGCACAGACGCACAGCGAGACCGTCGCACCGTGAGCACGGGACACTGGCGAGCACCCTTTTGCAGCAGCTGCCAGAGCAGCCTGCTTTGTAGTTGCTTCCCACTGTGTTTGTTTTGAATAAATGCATCCATAAGAACCGTTATCAAAATACACAACATGGGAAGCGTGGTGCTCTCAAAATTAAAAAGGCAGAAGGGAGGCTCTCGAGATGACGGCTGCGGGGAGGGCAGAGCTGAAGAGCTGCTCTTATCAGCCGCCGTAAACGTGAGGGACAGTCCACAAACAAACATTTCCTCTGGATGCAGTTTTCTCTCTTCAATTACGCTACGGGAACAAGAAATGTTTACTTGCTTGGATTTCAAAGCCTCAGTGTCGGACCTTTTCCCAGCACGGGGAGGTGATGGTGACGAGTAAAAATCTCCGCATCCTTCCTCCATCCCTAGGGAACAGTCTCTCGGCGCAGGCAGGTGCCCTCGGCAGGGCTAGGGACGCGGAGACGGGCACGTAGGAGCCCTTCCCAGTCCTTCCCAACAAACACTGAACAGCAGCAGCCAGCCCCAGTAGCTCACTGGTGGCAAACATCTTGCCGCAAGCTGCAAGATCCAGGCGTGGGCTCACGGCTGCTTCCCTCCCTTTGAAGTTTTGTGTTCAGAAATGGTTTCCTAAGCTCTTGACAGAAAGCAAAAGAGATGTAGAAGCGAGCAACATAGGCGAGAGGCCGTATTATTTTTTTAAAAAACCACCTTTGCTGCACGGAGACGTTTGCTAAGCCATGGGTTTGTTTCCAACCCAGACCAGGGCAGGGGCGACACAAAGAGCGAGGTTCCTGCTCCTCTTCAACTCCTTCTTTGGAGAAAGGACTGCCCCCAACCAAACCACAAGCAGGTTTTCATCTCAGATTAAATGTTCTTCCATGACTAGGGCACAAAGCAATTCTGCAAGTGCCCCGGGAGCTCCCTGGACGCTGCAGGAGGATGCTCTGCTCTTGCAGGAGCACCCCAGTCACGTTGCTCACCTCCTGCTCGGAGCTGCCACCTCGGAAAAGCTGGATTTGGGGGTTTTTTTTCAGTAGAAGGTGGGGGTTTGATGCTGTAAAAGGCAGGCTCCTCACAAGCGTAGTGTA